TTTTAGTTCTCGGCGGACACAACATCTTTGTTGGTATGTGGTGCTGAGGATCGAACCCGGGCCGCACGCATGCCAGGCGAGCGCGCTACCGCTGAGCCACATCCCCAGCCCTGTTGCCTGTATTCTTGATGATTGAAGAAAGGACAATTTCTATACATATATTTTATAACTCTTTGTTTTATAAACTCTAAGTCTATATCAGGTTGCTTTTAGAATAGCACTACTCTTTTTGCTTTTTCTTTTCATTTTTTTAAAATGTTATTGTATTTTTTATACTATTTATTTATTTATTGGATGTAGTGCTGAGGATGGACCCCGGTGCCTCATCCTTTCTCGGCAAGTGCTCCACCACTGAGCCACAACCCCAACCCCTCCGCTTCTTTTTAAATCCACTTCAAACATTGCTCAAGGTGAAGGAAGCATAGTAGAATTTCCTTTTCAAGAAACGATTTAGACATCACTAAATCTGGATTCAACTCAGAAGAGCTATGTCACATGAACAGCTGTCAGTAATGATAGAATCTCAGTTTGCCCACTTGGGAAAAAAAAAAAAGATAAGATTTCTTAACATTTCTCAGGAGAGATAATTTTCTCTTTGACAAGATTCTGATTTAAAGACCTGTGATCCACCTCATGTAGCCCTTTCCCCATCAGAATTCCTGTAGCATGAGCCAGGGCTGGGTGGACCCCTCTGCAGTGCACAAGAACATTATCAATGGCATCTGCAGGCGGGCGCTGATTCGTGGACAGATTGTTTTCCCCAAAAGGTCTGGCACTATCAGGGCCACTAGATACTGCTTTCTTGTATTTAATCACACTTTGTGACTATGTACAAAGCTGGAGCACAAACAATGAGGATATTGTTGTTTTCCCTGACCACGTGTCTTTTGTATGAACCAGCTGCATTGGCGTTTGCTCTCAGGCCATGAGGTTCTGTAAAGAACTGGGGCCATATTGTTCCTCCGGCATCATCTGCAGGTCATTTCTCCCACCCTGACACAAGAGCTCAGCAAGGAA